GTAAAATACATTTCCAAAATTTTGACATTTGAGCATATTTTGGCCATTATCTCCAAAACAGGATTTGTGAGGAGTGACTGGTTTGGCTTGTCTTGGCCACATATAAATAAAGTTTAGTCATTTCTACAAAAGTATCTCCTTTGTTTACTTCTCATTTATTCAAGACGAGGGATCAGTTTATGAGAAAACTGGTGCAACTTTTCTTCAGTAACTTTCACCTACTGTATGTTGTGAAGGCTGATTGATGTTTGCTTATTATTGCTTAGAGAAACTTTTCACGATTTCTTTGAAATCTACCTGTACCACAAGTTTTATTCAGTTGTTGGAAGGTTTAATACTAAAAGTTCGAGAGAAAGTTAAATAGTTGTTACTTTCATTTGATAAACTCTGATGCTGATGTTGGTTTTGGATTTCCAATTGTCCGTTTGGCTTTCCTCAAGTGTTACATAAGACATTATGGGGATTTCATGTGGTAGCTTTAGTAGGTATCTTAAATCTTTTCTTCCTGGTGATATTTTACCATTTTTTCCTCATTTGTGTGAATCTATAGATCTGAGTAATAATATATAGCCATTTTATTTTCAAATGAAATTTTATGATGGTCAATTCCAACAAATATCTGCTTTGTCTACTTTTCGTGCATCTCTGAGGAATCAAATGATATGACCATCGCTTTACATTCCCAGTGATGCAATTTTCTTCCTCGACAAAACTGATTTGAATAAAACTTCATTAGGGAAAAAGTTGAGAAGTTTCAGCAAATATCCCCTTTTGTGTAATTTTTATGCATCTCGGAGGAATAAAGCGATAAGAATATCGCTTATCATATCATCCATAACGTATCATGTATCATATGTTTGGCCAATAACAAATTTACAGAATAACAACCAAAAAACATGTCGGTCAACATAAGTGAAAAATGGCAGGTACTGCCCAGAAGTAGGCAAACATTAAACATGGAGTTCTAATCTTGATGTTGAATAACAATTTAGGAACAAATCAAATCCCCCAGAGGGCAAACCTGTTTAATTAGAAATCGTCGACTTCATATTCTCGGTGAAATTGATTCAGAGGAATTTCGGTAATATAATACAGATCTTGTAATGTTGCACGGTTCAAACAAACAGTATCCGTTCCTGTCTCCAACTTTCACCTCGTTGGGATTGCGTTGATGAAGTAGACACTGATTCTAATGAAACCTCAACTAATTTCATTTGATTATATTACAAATATTATATCAATTGAGATATGTAGTATGTTTCATTATCAATATGTCTTTCACCTTGTCCTTAATATTCAATTAATCACATTCATGTCACATTTTTTTCTGCCTGTGATACAGTGGCATATCTAGGAGTCTTAAAATCAAGGGGTGGGGGGGGAGCTGAACCCAATGTGAATTGGGAGGGGATCATTAATTAAGTGAGGTTATGCTAGCTCATAAATTAAGGTGAGTTTTAACTATCTGAGTGTGATTTTTGGGGTAGCAACTGGGGGGAGCCAATATTTTTGGGGGGGGCTGTGCGCACCCCTATATACACCATTGCTGTGTGCTTTTGTATTCAGAGTTTGGCGTATGTTTGTAATAGGTCTCCCTCTAACTAAAGACCACCTCTAATTAAAGACTACTCTTCTGTAGTCCCAAATGAACAATTGTCTTTTATCGTTCTTATTCTAATTAGAGACCAAATCTACTAAAGACCATGAAAACCCCAGTCCCAAAAGTCGTCTTTAATTAACGCCCATATTTGACAAAAGTACAATAAGATTCCAACTTCCTATTAAGAGATGCATATTGCAATAATCCATAATAATAATAATAATGTTACTTGTATATAGCGCATAATGCTGGAGCTTGCTATGTGCATGGCACAAACAGAAAAGAGAAGTGACTGAGAATAACGAAGAAAAAAAAAACACTAAAACAGAAATACCTAAAACTAGCCAAGACCGCTAAGAATAGTAACAATTAGCTTTCTTTGTTTAACAGATATTTTACTATAAAAATCATTTAATTGATTACCATCAATTCAATTTAATGCTTTGTAAAAATATAACAGTAATATTTTGTATGAATCTGATTATTATGGAAAATACTGTATTTGTATTTATATATTGAAAACTTTTATACAAAAGTATGTAATACAAATTATAGATTTCTTATAAACTCAACAAAAAGCAATAATAATAGAATATACGTGTATTCTATTATTTTACATGAAACATTTATTGGAATAACCATAAAAACAATTATTTGTAAGAATCAATATATTGTTAAATTACATGAAAATCTGCCTCTAATGGACATTAATGTCAACTACCTATATGATGTAAAAATAATGGGAGGCTCCAATGACTGTTTTGATTTTTTTTTAAATATATTTCAGTTATGTCATTCCACAATTGGCAATTTTTAATCACTGCATGCCTAATTCAAAGCCAGTATTTATATTTTATTAAAGTAATTGTAAAAAGTCAGCTAAGCTACTGGATGATTTGGCTGGGCCCCTGTGGTGGAGATCATTCTCGTGCAGCACCATGTCACTTAGCTCACTTAACCCTCCTGCGATAGTTATCCAAGGAGCCAAGAGTCCTTAGCACAAGAAGCAAGAACATTTACATCTAGGCTAAACGCTTAGCTCTTTAATAAGCTGTACTTGCATATCAGTAATGTTCTCATTGGTCTAGTTCTTATTATTCTAACAATTTATGTCAGTGCCATTGAGGTTGAATGAAATATACATCATATTGATTCAGGCAATCATTGAACCTATTATTTATTTGAACTGTCATCAGTTGAATGGATTTGTCTTGATGAAAAATCTTATGTAAATTGGTAAAGGTTGAAACTAAGTCAAAGGTCATAATTTAAGCTACGATGATGATGTAGTTGGTGCTTCTTTCCACCCAGTCCCAGCATCTTATGTCCTATCCAGATTATCATACTTTATTTGACAACAACTTGTAACATGCCTAAATATGGTCATGATGACATCACATCATGACCATATATAGGCACATCATGACTATATTCGGGCATACAACAGTTTTTTTTTGTCAGGAAATGTGGTCTGGACATGGCTTTAGGTTCAATCCTAGTAACCATAAATTCTCATAATTTGTATAGAAAAATGTTTATTATAATATCTAGTGTTGTTAATTATTTATTTATTTACCCTTACCAAAGGAGCAAAACAGTAATTTCTTATTCATGTTGTCATTTTTGTGGTAGTCTTGGTTCAGAAAATATTGTGTGTTAATAACTAAATATGTTCAAAAAATTGACTAGTGAAAGTTAATGTAACAATAATTATGCTCAAACTACATATAAACTGTTTATTATGAATGGACAATAAAGAATTATTGTGGTAATATATATTGATATTAATATATTTAAATCATTTTTCCATGTGTTCTAATTTGGTAACACTGCCTTAAATCAGGTTCAATTCATCTTCCATTAGTTTCAATATGACTGACATTTTTGCAAGAAAAAAAAAACATGGAACGATAAATTTAAGATAATGCCAGAAATCGTTCTGATATATTTTCATTTGTAGGTTAAAGAAATTCTTGCTATAATCAATCATTTCAATTTTCATGTCATTCTTATTTTATCAAGAAGATGCGAATTGTACTGTATCTGAAGACAAACAGTCTAAACAATCCCCATCCCCAGTATTCACTACTTTCTCTAAACTATCCTTTTATTTCCATCTTTATTGCCTTGTGAATTTGAAATGATAAATTTTATATATAAGTAATGCATAACTTTTACATAAATTATGTTATTTATTTCTATATTTTCCATTTTATTCAACAACAGTAAAAAAAAACATGATTTATATGCCATCAGCTAGGGGCTGTATATTTTTTATGTTAATGAGGCTCTTGCACCTGGTTCTAAAACTTGCTGACTTATTATATTATTTTTCAGTTTTTGTTTAATTATTAGTTTAAACAAGAATAATGCCACTATGCATTCCTCAGAGAAAAGCTTCAATGTTCTTTACAATAAAAATGAATATCAGTAAATAATTTTGACTTCAAACTACTTAAACTAAAAACAATTCTGATATGCATGTGCGCTACTGGTAGGTGTCCAGAACAGGGCTCCACCCGCCGATGGTGAAACAACATCCCTGTAACACCTGGGTGTACACAGGCACTCTGTTAGACAGTATGCTGGCATCTGTTAGCTTCCACCTCAGAATAGGCCCTCGGTTCCACTACCGTACACGGCAAACGACAACAACGCTATCTCGAGTAAGGAACTGGTGGGTAAATAAGAGTACTGTGTTATGTGACTAGGAATGTCCTATTGAAAAATAAAGTAAGATTTGTGAAATTCAAAACTACTTAAACTAAAAACAATTCTGATATGCATGTGCGCTACTGGTAGGTTTCCAGAACAGGGCTTCACCCGCCGATGGGGAAACAACATCCCTGTAACACCTGGGTGTACACAGGCACTCCGTTAGACAGTATGCTGGCATCTGTTAGCTTCCACCTCAGAATAGGCCCTCGGTTCCACTACCGTACACGTCAAACGACAACAACGCTATCTCGAGTAAGGAACTGGTGGGTAAATAAGAGTACTGTGTTATGTGACTAGGAATGTCCTATTGAAAAATAAAGTAAGATTTGTGAACTTCAAAACTACTTAAACTAAAAACAGTTCTGATATGCATGTGCGCTACTGGTAGGTGTCCAGAACAGGGCTCCACCCGCCGATGGGGAAACAACATCCCTGTAACACCTGGGTGTACACAGGCACTCCGTTAGACAGTATGCTGGCATCTGTTAGCTTCCACCTCAGAATAGGCCCTCGGTTCCACTACCGTACACGGCAAACGACAACAACGCTATCTCGAGTAAGGAACTGGTGGGTAAATAAGAGTACTGTGTTATGTGTCTAGGAATGTCCTATTGAAAAATAAAGTAAGATTTGTGAACTTCAAAAGTTAATCCATCCATTTATTTTTTTTGTTCTCCAACAGCATGGTAGAAGAGGCGATGGGTGGAGAATTCCTGCTTAGCAACGAGACGTTACCATGCCCACCAAGCTTAGCTCTTTCATTCAATGATGAACGACTTCTGTCTCCCAGGACACTAAAGGTACAGTATTTAACTTATCTTCCTGCTTCCCTGTAAATCATTTGAATGAATGGAACATATAGACAAATCCATTGGCGCTGCCATTGCTGAGGGCCTTCGTGGGGACTCCTGCGTGCATGTCATGTTTGGTGGTGCAATGAATTTTTTAGAGTAGATTACAATGAAAATATAATACTGTCACCATGACAAATAGAAGTGCATTCACTGCCAGTGATATCGTTATGTAACTTTGCATGTAATAGAAGCATTTCCACTATCTGTTTTTTTAAGGAAAAAACTAACCAAACATCCTGTGGTGTACTACTGGGTAATTAACAAGACATACAAACGGTAGCAGGTGACCTCCCATTGCTGCATATTGGGATGTATCATTGTTTACGCACAAGAAAAACTGACTGTGCACTCTTCCTATTCTATATTTCAACAAAAAAAACTGACTGTGCTCTCTTCCTATTCTATATTTCAAAAAAATAACAGGCAACTTAACAGGTACCCACCTGTGTATATTTGTAGAGGACAATAACATGAATAATGCCCTGCCTCACTATCAAATTTTTTGTGCCAAACTTTAATGGCATGATGAGGTCCCATCATAGTCATATATATATATATTTTTTTTTTTTAATTTGAACCATATTTAATGAGGGTGATCCATTAAGCAGAAGCTTAAAACATCTTAACTACCAATTAATTAGAATTAGAATATAAAATAAAAAACATTAATACAAATATTAGCACTTAAAATTAAAATAACTAAAAATAGGATATGACAATTATTGCAACAGCCATAGGAATAAGAATTTAAAATATGCTAAAAAATGGATCTTCTCATTTCGCATCAAACAAAATTAAATCAAAATATAAATGTATATATGATAAAATATATATGATAAAATATATATGATAGAATGAATCAATAAAAAAAATAATAAAATAATCAGAATAATAAGGTTATACAGTAATAGTTAAATATAATGAAAAGGAGATATTGACCAAAAAGACAAAAAATATAAAATGAGTTAAATTAAATTAAATTAAATTAAAGAAGTAACAAAATAATGAATAAAAGGGATTAAAACAGAAAAATAAATAAAAAATAAAAATAAAGAAAAACAAACCCGAAAACGAGGCTTGTCAGGCCAAAAACTAGCATTAATTACCAAAAAGGAAAAATGACTAATATATTCATATATTCATATTCTCCACGTTATAAGCTTTAAAATGATGGGTCATTTACTGGAATCAACGTACTATTGCAAACGTTATGAGTAAAAATATTATGACAGCTTCTGTACTAAAGTGTACACTACTGGCACATTCTATGCTAATTATTCAGTTTAACTTAATAGCAACAGGATGCTGGTTTTCAGATGGCCTTATATCACAGGTGTTCAAAGTGCAGCCTGCGGTCCAACAGGTTTTTTTGTGGCCCGTGAAAATGGATTAAAAACCCTATATGTACGGCCCGCGAAACATTTTTGACTAAAAGGTACCTTATTTTGTACAGCCGGACATCCGTAAAAACTAATGTTAAAACTGAGAATAAAGTGGTATAAAAGCCGTGCATGAAGGTTTTTTTGGGAGCACACTGTTAACATCAAAGTTTGGGGGCGGCCCTTGGTGTTAAATCAAAAATTCACTTTGGCCATCCAACCAATTTTTATGCCCACCACTGCCTTATATGGTCAAATCACATGTATTTGCCAAATAAAAATTATTATGTAGACAAGCCATTAAAGTCACTAACAGTACCGAATTGTTCTCGTACATCACATTGACAGATAATAAAAATATGTATTCAAGTTATACCACATCAAATTAAAAAATATAGAAAATAAATGACGAGATGAATAAAACTCTGCAATCAGTTTGATGATACTAATTTGAAATCATAAATTGTCATTTCAGTTCGTACTTTGATTAGTACGCATCTCTTTCTTGTATTAATTTCTGTTCGTCCTTCTGTTGTTCTTTGTATCATTTTGATCTACAAGATTAATGACTGTCGATGAAATAGTGATTATGGCGCCAAAAGTATCTCCACTGCAGTAGACATCTGCGCTCTATAAATAGCATTTTGATTGATTGATTGATTGATTGATTGATAGTTTGATTGATTGATTTCTTAATAAATTTAATAACTTGATTTATTCCTATGGCTATCATATACCACAATGCAAACTTTTGGCATTGATGGTTTTATATTACCTGGATATAGTACACCCATTTTTGGTTAATACTGATTATAATTATAAATCTTGTTGAGTTAATTTTTGTACCTGGATTCACATCAAATATGTCGGCTTTTCCCTAAGCAAACCCCCATGGTAAGATTAGAATATTTATTTTATTTTTTTATTTCAACAATATTTTGTGAAGGTGGTCTATCCAGCTGGAGCTGATCATTAGGGACCCTCAATATATAAAACAAGCAACAAAGGAAATGAAATAGATTAACTAAATAATTAAAAATAATTTAAAGAATTATTAAAAATAAAAACGAAAAATGAAATAAATAATAACAACAATAAAAAATAACAACTATAAATGAATAAACAGAGAAAAACAGAAAAACGATAGATATACAAATTGATATGACATTAAATTGACTATAAATTAATTAAAAAACAAAGGAAGCAGAATAAAAATAAAGGCAAAATAAATGAAGAGTAAAACAAAACACAATTTGAAAAATTAAAAGAAAAAAAAAAACAACAAAAAAAAACAAAAAAAAAAACACCCAATATCAAGGTCTAGCAACTACAACCAATTTTGGGGGTGAAGAAGGATCAGCAAATATTAACTTTGAATTGAACATGCCATGATGAAAATTTGCATTTTGATTGGCGAATCCTAAAAGTTGGAAAGGTTTCTTCATGAACAGAGATTTCCATGGGTATATAAGCCCACCACTTCCCCTCACAAAATTGACCCAACTTTGTGATCATTTGAGGGCTTGTACCCGAGGAACTAGGGAAGTGTTTTTTTTTTTTATTAATTTCACTGAATTTATAAGTTCGCAGAAAATTCCTTTAGAATCTAAATAATTCTGGATATTAACTTTTGATGTCATCTGCATATGTTGACATTTGGCATTTGTAGAATTCCTAAAAACAGTTCTTTTGAAATTAAGATTATACAAATGGCAATTTTTCTTTTTTTTTCAAATGGCAGCTGGTTACATAACAAATCAAGGCCACAGGTTAAAATTGTTCAAATGTTTCATAATGATTAATACTCATATTATTTTCAATTTCCATTGAACTATTTTTTTTTGTTGCAACCATATTTTCAGAGGGTGACCCTTCTATCGTATCCTAGGGGGGCAGCTGATATTCAGATGCACTCAAATGAAAATAATTGGATGCCTTTATAAGCAAATCTCTTTATGAGGCTTAGGGAGTGGAGTTGTTTTTGTCATGAGAAAAAGTCCTGCTGTCCAGGAATTGAACCCAGGACCTTGTGATTAGAAAGCTATACAACTTCACTCCCTTGATTTTACAAGCAGGTATTTGTATACTCCAATAATGATGGCTTCTAATATCCACCATGCTCTTTACAAGTGATTTTGGCCATCCACTTAATAGTAACTTTGTAATGGACGAAATCGGGCAGTCTGCGGTCACTCGGTTCTAACAGTCTTAAGTAACTCAATTCATATATGCAGATAAATCAAAATTTATTATAGTGTTGCATTTCAATAGAATATTATTACCTTAAATCCTTTCACATAAACACGTCCAATCAGGATTTTGGCTCATTAATACTGCATATAAAAATTATATTACTAATATTACTTTTCTGATTTTATATTTTATTGTTTGGCATAAAAGCTGACGAATTTGTTATCCATATGTTAAAATTATAGTGAATTTGATTTTATATACATAAGATTAAGAGTATTGGTGTTATTAAACAAGAAATGAAAGATTCAAATTTCAGAATTAATAAGTTAATTTCTGTCACTATACATTGAACCTATGATGCTGAAGTTCGTGCGAAGGTAACTGCACTTGACTGAAGTTTACAAGGACCATAGAAAATATATTTTGAATATGACAATATAATATTAATGTCCTTATCATGATATTAACATGTTTGACAGCTATCTCAGTTTTGTACAAACAAGCATTTGTAACTATAAAACATACATGTATTCTAAGAAGTAGACTAAAAGCTGATTGGAATCATTAATGCTCATATGGTCTTTTTAGATTTATTTCTCTTTTGAGGAAAGGTAAATTATATTTTAATTGGTCAATCTAAATAAAATCTGGACATGTCCATTATGTAAGCCCAAATTTATTATTGAAGATGAACTAACACATTTTGAAAAATATAATAGAGATCTTCTTGCTCCTAAATGAATTTATTTATTTAATGAGGATAACTCTTAAAATGTTTTCATATTTGCTTGCACAACCAACTCGAAGAGACCCTCAACAATACAAACAAATTACAATAATTACACAAACCAAACATCGCAGAATTCTGGAAAAACATTACTTGCTAACTCCTATTTATCCCATATAGTCAGTTTTGTCTCCATATGTCAAATTTAATTGATGTACCCATGTGTATCTACTCATCAAGGTATTAAACAATAATAATATTAAAAGAATGTAAACTTTATAATTTAGTAAATCCAAAGTGTCGATATCAAATTTCCGAGATGAAAATATTCACAGTAATAACATGTAATGTTCAAACCAGTTTACTTCTAAGTTGTTGTGATAGAATTCTATCGTAGACGGCTGTTTAGATACTGCGATCATTTCCGCATGTCAATGCCTTCCCAATCATGTTTGACACGCTAAGTACCCGCTATTTTTTACGCCAATATGCTTCGAGAAAACCAACGAGCAGTTGATGAAACACTGTCAGAATTACGAATTGTGATATGAAAAAAATTGAGTTAGAGCTTGGATGTTGTCAATTTATTATCAGTGATGAATAGGCACTTTAGGGCAAAATCACAATTAACTAACACTCAATTAAAC